TGGGTGTCAAGAAGGGTACCATGGTTGAGAGTTGGACACGTTAGCAAGGCAGCCTCCCTTGAGGGTGTATGCCAACGGGCAGCTCCGCAAGTTCGTGATAAAATCGAACTCAACTCCATGGTTTTGGTGGATTTAAAAACTAGGATGAACCCTTATTGTCATGAACGTTTTCGGGTTGATAGAGCTTAAATCCCCCAAGGTAAAATGTATGTAGAACACATATGATTTTAGAAAAAACTAAGGAAGCTAATTACGAGAAAAAAGCAGAACCACTGGACTGTTTTTAGAAATAGTGTGCCACGTACAGATTGTCGTGCCACAACGCTTTGTGTCGTACCACGGTGCTCTGTGTCGTGCCACGGCAATTCTGTCGTTGCGCAACAATGATAAAAACATAACAATGCCTTTGATTTTTCGATCGCGATTAGGTTATTCGATTTTTCCTACGAGGCGAACCTAAATATGACGTTAAAACGTCAATGCATATGCAAAAATGCCAAATTAATCACAGGAAAACGATTCAAGAATCTTTAAAGTCTCATCCACTCATCTCAATTAATACAGATCACACTAATTGATAAATAACCAAGAATCCTCCCTAGTGGAGTCGCCAAATTGTAGGCGTCATTTGAAGCGCGCCTACTTAAGCATGTTGTGAATATGCTTGGCAATCATAGGAAGTGGGATTTGCATATACGATTAGGGACAACGATTAGGGACAAATAAAGAAGGGAGCCGCCAACAAGTTTTTAAGGAACTTGTAAACCGATCACGGATCATTTAAGGCAACCACGATTAAGGGACAACGATAGGCAACTACGATTGACTCGTGAAGGTTACACCTCATTCATAATCCATGAGATTACTAACTCCATATGGTTCAGAACCACGAAAAGAGGATCGGGGATGATGGTACGAAGTGAGTCATGAAGTCACATTTGCCCGTATTGGCCTCTACTCGATTCTTATTGTGAAAAGTATTCCTGCGATCTCAAAGGCATTCAAACAAAGATTCAATTTGCTCCAAAATAAATTAGGCCAAATTAGTTGAATGTTAATGCAACATATAATTCTAAATATCGTGATTACTTCAATTAATAACAAGATTAAAAAGGAACCTAAATTGGTCGTCCAAATATCTTATTAATTAAGCGTTATATTCAATTACAAATTCCCTTTAAAAATGAAATATGGTGATCAATCAATATAATAAAATAACAATAACATGGAACCAATTTAACCATAAATCTAACAATTACTATATGACAAACATAACAAAAATCGTTAGAAATATAATAGGAACAAAAGGAACATGATTCCTTACTTTGATTGCGTTTGCTTGCAACTATAAAACAATAAACACGTTAGTAACTTAAAGGAATATCTAATACAATGGAAATTAATTCAAATGAAAGTAAAGTTGATTTGGGGCCAAACCCTCAAACAGTTCTACCTTTCATGTCTTGGTTTAAGTATAGGACTTCGAGTAAAGTAAGGACTCTGGGGAGTGCTTAAGGGATGAATTGTGAGAATAGGGAAGGCTAGTATTTAGGCTAGAGCATACTATAAAGGGAAGATTAAAATCACGTTAAAAGGAATTTTAAATGAAATCTAATTATGCACACATGTTTACTACGGAGTACATTATTGTTTTTCCCGACTTTTTTTTATGTAATTATGGATTAAGCAAAAATAGTCTTTGTCTTTTCTTTAAATGACATCATCAAAGTGCTTCATATTTTGCTCAAAATTATATTGGACCAAAGCTGGCCTATATAAATTCTTATGATGTATTATTGTAATTCTCGAAATTTTTAAAATGAGATGCTGATTGCATCCTTTGATCTTTCAAAAAAAAATTAAAGTCAATATAAAAATTATAATAACGCATATTATTAATCAATTTATCAACTAAAAAAGAAACTCGAAAAATTCTAGCTTGAAAAAGAAATTTTTTTTTATTAAAAAAGACTTTTTCTCAAAATTTGAATTGAGTCATATGGAAATCGATCAATGCACAACTGCCCGAAACCAACTGACTCAAATGAGAACCGAACCAATTAAAAACCAATTTTTTGAAACCAAAAATCGACTCAAACCGTATTTTATTAAACCCAAAATCGAACCGATCCGAATAATGTTAAACCGTATAACAACCAAACCCGTTCTAAACCGAACTGAAATAAAACCGAACCGAAAAAGAATCGAATCGTTTCTAACCCGAAATTGTTTCCAAGCCGAAACTGTTTGAACCGGGATAAAAATCGTTTACATCGAACCGTTAACAAACTGCAACCGTCTACATCGAACTGTTTACTACCCGAACCATTTACAAGCCGTACCAAATTAAAACCGCTCAAGAATAAACCAAAACCGAACTGATAATAATTTAAACCAAACCGAAACCAACCCGTAAGGCACTTGAACCAATTTCAAACCGAACCGAAACCGAACTGTCAAACCGTTTTGCCAGTACTAAGTGTATCTCTTGGATTACATGCAGCCTGTAAGGATAGTAGTTGACTAAGACAACTTGTATGTTTAATATATTTAAGACAACTTGTATGTTTTATATATTTACATGAATTATGAATGGGCCGGGCCGAGGGACACATCGAACTAAGAGAAACTTCACATGATGATATCATGAGCTTGAGATGTGAAGCAAATAAAGAACCCACATGCGATAACAAAATTTATTACTACTATTTCTTTTCTATAAAACAAATAAAGAACCCACATGCGATAACAAAATTTCTTCGCAAAGATGGAGAAGGGTGACGATAATGCAAAAACACCGAAGGTTGATTTCACCTATTTTCTAGGTTCAATTGATAATTCTAGAAAATTGAGCTCGTCAATTGAGTTTGAAAGGTTATGATGAATGACTCGCATATTGTCGTTGAATGCAAATTGTATGTTTGTCTAATCTTTTTAAATGAGAATATTATGAAGCCAACAACACTTAAAAAACTTGAAATTTAGGGCACAGTTCACTCGATGTTGGTATCATGTATTATTAAACCTGGCCTGGCCTATTAAGAAAAACCTCTGCTCAACTATAGCATATTATAACAATGCTTATAGTTATGGGAAACCTTGAAGAATAGATATTTTGCATAGGTCAAGATATTATAACAATGCTTATAGTTATGGCAAACTTATCAACCTTGATTAGACTTCCCTTGATTTTTATGCTATATATATACTTGATTAGACCTGATTAACCCATATTAAGCCTAATTAGCCTTAATTTTTTTTTAAAGGTTAACTTTTTTTCTTTTTATTTAAAGGTTAACTGAACACACCTAAGTCGAATACTAATAAATCCCACAAGTCAAACCCCATAGCCAATTAGGCTAACTTGACCAAAAAATACGCAAATTTTTAGTTACGCATTGGTGCGCTAAACTAGCTGCACCAGCCATATATATGAACATACAGTGCTTTAAAATGAACATAAGTTTTTTGTTTCCTTTCTTATATCTTAACTCTCTCTTCTTCTTTCTTTAATCAATTAATTTTCTCTCTCCTTTGTTATCTCCACATCTTGAAATTTTCTCTCTCTTCTTTTTCTCTTTCCTCACAAGTTAAATTTTTTTCTTACCTTACTTTCCTTCATTCATTAAACTTCTTTGTCCTTCTATTTTGGGCAATCTCCACTTCGTCACCATTGTAGCAATCTCCATCGTCATCATCTTCATCGCGATCTGAATCGGTAGGTAATTTTGAGTTTTTTTTTAATAAATATGTGAATGTTATAAAATTGTTGATTTCTATCAATTTTTCATTTGTAGTTCCTATTTTATCATGTTATAAATTGATATTTATTGCCTTTATGATGAATCAAGATTAGAATTAAGGTAGATAACCAAAATTATAGAGTTAAAATAATTACAATCGAGCTTGTGTATAATTTCTGTAACAAAAAAAATGAACACGTAGTATTTCAAAATTAAACATTTATGTTTCAAAAAAAAAAAAAAATTGAACATTTAGAGTTGACCGAAATGGGCACTAAAATTTTTTCGGGAAATCTCCTCCAAGTTGCTGGTATGACATTGAATAGATCGGCGGATAAGAATATTTGTCCATCTGTAATCGAAATTACATTAGTAGGAATATAAGCTGAAACATCTCCTGATTGGGTCTCGACTATTGGTAAAGCCTAGCAATCGACAACACAAAAGCTTTGTTAAAAATTACTTACCTACTCCCTTTCTTATCAGGGGTACAAAATGAAAATTTAATACACGAAAAATGAACATTTCGTACATAAAAAATGAACATATTTTAACGATTTATTTTATCTTTATTTTTCATAATTGAAATTATACAATGAAATTGAACCTATATGAATGTATGAAAATCATGTTTATTTTTATTAAATGTTCATAATTTTTTTGTTTGACGTGTTCATTTTTTTACTTGTTCATTTTATTTAATGTGTTCATATATTTTTATGAAATGTTCATTTTATTAGGTATGGTCCATTTATTTTATAATTGTATGATAAATTTTCATTTTTAATATATTAAATGTTAATATTTTTTTAACATGTTCACTTTTTATTAATAAATGTTCAATTTTTTTTAACGTGTTCAATTTTTATTACTAAATGTTCACTTTTTTTTATGTGTTCATAATTTTTTTTCACTAAATGATCATTTTAAAGGCCGTGATCTAGTAATTATATGATTATGATAATTATATTCATTTTTTATATACTAAATGATCATTTTTTTTAGAACATTTTCACTTTTCATTACTAAATATCCTTTTTTTTACGTGTTCATTTTTTATTACCAAATGTTCATTCTTTTTACGTGTGCATTTTTATTTTACTAAATATTCATTTTGTAGAGCGTGGTGCAGCTACCAGACCTATTGCAAAAAATAAAAACTAGATCCTCATATCTCAAGAAATAAAGGCCCATTTTACACTTACAACTTACAAGTACATTTTTTTAGCAACTTACCCAAAAAAAAAAATAAAAAAAATAAAAAAAAATGAAAACATTCAAGAAAATTACATTAATCTTGAAAAATTGCACTATTACAGTTTACACATCAAATTTGAAGCTGCAGTTGTGCCGAAAACGCTGAGTACTAAAGAATCCAATCTTATTTATAACAATGGCGGTCAGAAAATCATCTATCATCGAATAAGCTAACGAATATAGAGCAGAGTTGATTACCCACATACTTTATTTGACAGTGAGAAGAAAAAAAAAAAAAAAGGCAAAAGCAATAAAATCCCAGAAGTTTAAAATGGCAGAAGATTCAGAAAAGAGATTTCACAGTATCATGAACAAACTCTTTCACTCTCCTAAATCTAATGTCCCTCTTTCATCAAGGTACTCTTTTTATTGTTCTTGATTTTAATCTAATATTTCATATGTTTTCAATTCAATTATTAGTCCCTTTTCTCTTTCCTCAAAAAAAAAAAAAAAAAAAAAAGTCCCTTTTCTCTAATTTGTGGGTTTTTTTTCAATATTTTAAAATCTTATGATGGTTGGGAATTGTATGAAATAAGAATTTGAGCTTCTTAGGTTGGTGGGATTAATGGGTTTTTGTGTAATTATTTTTTGTATAATTTTATGACCTTATAATTGTTGGGAAATCTATGAAATATGAATTGGAGTCTTGTGGGTTCTTGGGGATAATTATTTTCATGAATTGGGGTTTGTTTGAGCTTATTATACTATGCTGAGCTGCTGTGTTGTAAGAACTGTTTGTTATTTGTTTCCAGAATTTGCAGTAGCATTAAAATTTATTAAATTATAGATAGTTTTTAGCTTATACTTGAATAATTACCTAGTTTTTTCGGGGAAGAGTTAGAACTATGTAGTTTGTGAATTATTATTGGTATTAAATGGTTTTTCACCCTTCATTTTGTGGGGGTTTTGGTGGATAGTTCATCAAGTGGACAGAAAACGAGAGGGCAGAAGCGCCTCTTTTCAGTGATAGAATCGAATTTAAAAGGGGATAAAGGCGAAGGTCAAAATGCAGCTCAAGCACCACCATGTAGACCTTGGAATAGGGAAGATCTTATGGGGAGGTTAGCTACATTCAAATCCATGAGATGGTTTGCTAAGCCCAAGGTTCGATTCTCTATCAATCATTTATTGATTGTTCTTTGAACTGCTGCAAATTGATATATTTTGTGATATTTCCATTTTCTTATTCAAATCTATACTAATATATTAAAAAGTATTCTTGGAACACTATATGTGCCACGTGAAATCTCTCTCATTCAATAGAAATTTGCCATGCTTAGCAAGGAACATGGATTGCAATGATTGACAACAATAGCTTCTTATTATAGGGTTGAACATAGGACCAACAAGAGTTGAATTAGTTGTCTTACTATCTTTGCTTACAGTTAGCTATGCTTTCTTACTTCACATTAATATATAAGTTGAAACATCTGAGTGTCTATTTTATACTATTTTTGTTTATTTTTTCAATTGTTCTTATGTAATTCGTTATTTTCCACTAGGCATTGATAGCAAGGCATTTTGAATTTTGTTACTAGATAGCTTTGACAACTCACAGACCAAAATTTTGATATTAAAAGTATCAACTTGATTGCCCAAGCGGCCACACACTAGCTCTTTGGCATTATAAGATGAGAGCATTGACCTTAGGTTCCATTATGTAATTTACACTTTGAAAAGAATACTTAGTGGCTAGGTCCAGAATATATCTGATATTCTTAGCTTTTGGAAATTGTGTAAATCAATTACTCCCCTTGTCCCTAAATAAAAGTCTCATTTGCTCCATGCACCTTAATGTAGAACAGGCAAATAAAAATTAAAAAAAGATAGTGGGATTTGGTTGATTGAAGGTGAATTATAAAAGAAGATAGTGGAATTCGATTGGTTAAAGTCAAATAAAAATAGAAGGTAATGGGGATTGGTTGATTAACGTTGAATCTATACGAAGATTGTGAGAAATGGAACTTTTACCTTTTTTAGAGACGGAGGGAGATGTTGTTCTGAATTTCTGCTAAGGTGTCATCAATGTTAAGTACTTTCTTGATTCGTGTTTTCCCTCGAGAAATATGTTGCATTATTGCCTTTGCTTTTGACACGTTTGAAGGACGGTTTGCATCATATCTCACCATTCTAGCTGAACTTATTTGCAATATGGATTTCATTTAGAACTAAGACCTTTGTTCATTACTAGGCTGTGGATGCTGTGAATTGTGCAAGGAGAGGTTGGGTTAATGTAGATTTCGACATCATAGCCTGTGAAATTTGTGGAGCACGTCTACAATTTTCTACTCCTTCAGCTTGGAACCAGCAACAAGGCATGTTCTTTGTCTTTGCTACCTTCCTTTAGTTATTCTTTAGGTCCTTATTTGTTTTCTTCTTGTCTTGGAAGAAAGCATGTATCTTCAATATTATAGACAAACACGTACTTATTTTACCTTTCATGCTTGCTTTTGGGCAGTTGAGAAGGCAGCTTTAGTTTTTAGCTTGAAGTTGGAGTCTGGTCACAAGCTGCTTTGTCCATGGATTGACAATGCTTGTGATGCAAAGTTGGCATTATTTCCACCTATGCCTGCACCTGTGTTGGTTGATCACTATAAAGAGCGTTCTTCTGCATTGTTGCAACTTTCAGCTCTTCCTGTAATACCTGCTTCAGTTGTTGAGAGCATGAGAAGCTCTCAGTTGAAACACTTTCTCAAACAGTCAATAGCCGTGGAATGTGGTTCAGCACCTAATGATTCATGTTGGACAGAGTATCTTGGGAATGACGCTGAAGTTGTTTCTGCTGATTTGTACTATCAGGTATATCTAGCACTGTGTCTGGTGCACTACCTCCCCTTCTATATTATAAAAACGTGCTGCTTGATATAATTTGGTAAAGGCACCTTGACAATTAAAGCAAACAAGAGAAAAATAGAGAAATATAAAAAAACCAGTGACATTAATGAATTTTTTTAAAACATTATTATTATATCTTTAGATTACATCTATAAGTCTTCTCAACCTATATGAGTAATCCTAAAATTCATGTGAAGTTGGTGGTGAATAAAACTATTGTTATGCTATAAGTCTGTAAGCGTATCCATAATTTTTCATAAAGTGGCTAGCATGTTGAATCAATTTGGATGCTACAAAGTCTTTTAACTGAATCCAAGATTGGCCATAAAGTGGCTAGCATGCTGATTCAATTTGGATGCTACACATTTTACCCTTATGCTTTACTGCTCTAATTGATAATGGAGGAGTAATGTAGACCCTGCCAACAGGTGTAAATATGCTAGGTGGTTGTCGTGGTTCTTGTTGCAATGAGGACTATGAGAATTAAATTAAGGCCCTAAACCTGTCACAAGTTATTACCATAATGCAAAATAGGTGAAAAGAGCAATAATTGAGGTTATTTATGGCATTTCTCTATTTGTCATCCTATTCATCTGCTTACTAACCTCCCTTCTCTCCCCTCTCTCCTACAAATATTTCCAATAAAGTAAGTGCAATACTTACATTGTAGTGCTGTAATTTTAATTGGAGTCATATAAATGCATTGTTTTTTATAAGAAATTCTTTTCCAGTATTCTTATGTCGAATATACTAGGTTGAGTTATTTACAATTAAATGTGGCTGATGTGCAGGCTCATAGGTTATTAAGTTTATGTGGATGGGAACCTCGATTGCTTCCTTACATGGTTGATTGTGAGGACCAGCCTAAACTGTCTGGTAGCAATGACAACACCTCCAACTTGTCTCATGCAGCAGCTGATGAGCAGAGCAATAGGTTGTCTGTGTCCATGTCTGCTTCCAATGAAAACATTAGGGAAGACGACGATCCTGGGGCTTCCAGTTTCTATTATGATCCTAATTCTACTGTATTGGATTGCAAGCTTTGTGGGGCAAACATTGGGTTATGGGCCTTTGCAACAGTTCCTCGGCCCCTAGAATTGGTTAAAGTAGTTGGTCAAGCTGATATTGGTGGTGGAAGTAATCTTGGCAGCAAGACATCTGCAATTGAAAATCATGCCAACCATGGTAACAGTGATCTTGCTGCTGCAAATGGAGAAGCTGCATCACCAAGGAAAACAATGTCGAATTTGACAATTGCTGGTGGACCTCCTCCAACTAGACAGAACTTCAGGGCAACAATCTCCTTACCTGTTATTGGTCGTAATGTAAGGACTAGACTTTCTTACATGTCATCAGATGTAAGTACTGGTGAAGTGGAACCTATAGCTTTGAATGCCATTATGGACAGTTCAACCAAGGACAAGCAAAATGAAGAGACAAACTCTGGTGTAAGTGGTTCTGAGCCACAAGATAACGCACCTTCAACTGCAGATATTGCCAGTTCACAGGAGATGATTGTAGATAGTACGGCATTGAGGAAGGTAAATATTTTAACCGAGTTTCAGGATTATTCTGTCTGGTACGGTGCATTTTAATTCTTGCAGAAGTCTTACCATTGTTTAATGGGGCAGGAAACATTAAGCTTAACTAGTGGTGAACAGAACGAGAATGGAGTAGCAACGATTACTTCGCAAAATGACATGGCAACATTGAGTGTTGGTGAGTTATGTTTGGTCTCACTGCTTCTCTCTTCAGTTTGTGTTTGGTTAATCACTGTCTTCTGTATTTTATTGCTGCTTGTAGAACACTTTCTCCTATCAGATTTTTCCTCCTTGCACTTCATTCTAAGTGAACTTAGACAAACGTAAAAATTTCTGGGTCTCCTGTGTAGTGAAGAGACCTGAAATTGCAGGCTGAAAGCCCCTCAATTATAATGATATTTCTTGGTTAATCTCTAGCATTCTTTCTCATCTGCCACAAGATACTATTGGGTCAAATCCTTAAGCTGCAACATGTATTATATGTAAGCTTTCACATCCATACATTGGTCACAAATGTAATTTGTTTCGTCATAGGTTTTTGGCCGTTGGGATTCTTTGTCCAAACTCACTTCCAGAAGGAAGAGCACTTGTTACAACTATACAATTCAAGAAAGAGCACAATATCCTCTGATTGCTTTTTAGCCTTCATAGGACAAGTCCAGGCCTAGCAGTTTGTCTACTTAACCTTGCGTTTTCTATAATGCCAGCGAGGGATCATCTTCCAGCTAGGATTCTTGCTCACATCAAATAAGGGCTTAGCAAATGAATATATAGTATAATTTCTCTGTTGACACAGTGTGCTAGCTCTATTACCATCTATAAGACGTTAAGGCATGTCCTAGGTCTATTTCTAAACCTGTTCTAGTGGTAAAAGCTCTAGATGTAGTACACTTGAAAATTAGATAGTTATCATTACACACTAGAATGAATTTGATGTGGGATACAAGTGGGTGTTACAGTATCTGTTTCCCTTTCAGGCACTTCACTAATCTTTATAAGGTTAACATAATTGTTCATGTATGAGTGTAACATGTGGAAATCTTTGAAGCAGGTTTAAAGTAAAAATTCTGTTATAGATGGTGACATTATTTATTACCAAAAGGTTTGCCGCAAGCCTTATTGGATCAAATTCATCAAACATTAGTTTCGTAGAAAAGAAAAATAATCATGATTTCTATCATTTTATCCCTTGACAGAATAAAATTATAATCCTATGCTCTGTCTTGAGTCACCCAGGATCTGTCCCTAGCCCTACGCATGCCTTAAATTCCTCCCCCCCCCCCCCCCCCACCCCCTGTTCTCACTTCATGTGTGGTGCATGGCTACTGCACATCTGGTGAAAACTGCTGGCTTGCAGTACATTGGAAGATTGATGGTCCACAGTGGACTGGGGAATTGACACAGATATGCACTGGCTACTGAACTCAATTTTTAGTCACTCATAGGCCTGTGGAAAAAGAAACTAAGTTCCTTGGCAAGACAGATGCTATATAGCTTGCTTCATTAAGTTGCACAAGCGTACCAGTCTTTCTGTTCTAGGTATGTTAGCTGCCATTAATAGGTAGGCCAACTAGCAAGTTTTTCTATTGTATTAAGGGAAGGAGGTAGAAGGGATTGGACAATTTTGGTCTTGCAGTACAAGTATATTTGAAAGTTGTCCATTCAAAAAAAAAAAAAAGTATATTTGAAAGTTGAAGAATTTTCCTTTATTGTCTTGATGGGTAGTGACTAATTCTCATTTGTTGCCTGAACTTTATTTAGTTTGACTTCCACTTCATATGCCATGTGAACTGATGTAATATCTCAGAATTAGGCTTTTTATACTGATTCTAAGTTTATGAACTTTTCCACTCTCATCTTTTCTTCATTAATAAACCCCCCTTAATCTTTCAGCTCCCTTTCTCTACCATTGTGACCATTGTGAGTAACTATTTTTGTAGAAAGCATGGGCCCTTTTAAGCCCATAGAGTAATACTAGTTTTGTAATTGAAAAAACTAAATTTTCACTGGCCACTGCCTCTGTTAGGATTCTAGTAGGAACTTTGAACCTAAAATCTGGATAAGATCTTGGAACATTGGATCCCTTACCGAAAGTTAGTGAAGTTAGTGGAAGTGATGAGGAGAAGAGAAATTCACATATTGTGTATCCAGGTGAAAGGTAAAATAAATTAAGAGCCAAATTAATTTTGCCCTCAGGTTATAAGTTATGGTATGTAGGATTGAATAGGACTAGGAATGGGCATTATTATAGTTGATAGGATAATGGAGGAGGAGATTGTGGTTTATAGAAAGAGTGTTTTGCTGATGAGGATAAACTGTAAAGTTAATATATAGGAAGGCAGGGAAGGAGATTGTAATTGCTGTAAGTGTGTATGAGGTGGCTTGGAAATGCCAATTATGGGAGAACTTTGATGATGTGGTACAAGAAATTCAAGTCACAAAAGTTATTTGTTGATGGAGATCTAAATGGGCATGTGGGGACAAGTTGTAATGCATATGAGGGTCCATGGAGTATTGAGGTATGGAAGGAGGAATGAAGCAAGAGAGACCATTTTGGAATTCACTGTTTCACACAATCATATGTCTTGTTCCTAGCAAACACATGGTTTAGTGAGAGGGGCTTGGAATTGAGGACTTTTGAAGTGGAAAAAATGCAACTTGAGTCCTAATTGGTTGGGAGGAAAGGCAAAGTTGCCTAGACCGTAAGGTTATTCCAAGGGAGAGCGTTGCTACTCAGCCTATCAACGTAGGCTACTAGTCTTGGATGTCCATATGAAGGTAGGTTCAAGTAGAGGAAAAAGCCAAGATAAACCAAGGTTAAGATGGTGGAACTTGAAAGAAGATAGTGCAAGTTTTTACCAATACAACGGTAAAGGAAATTGATTGGGAATCATAAATATGACCTCGACTTGGTTTGGGTGAAGATGAGGAGTTGTTTCTCTAAAGTCGCCAACAAAGTTTTGGAGAATCAAAGGGGAATTTAATTGTTTGGTATAATATGGACGTAAAAGCGTTAATCAAGATGATAAGACAATGCTATTTGGCCCTGGGATATGGCCAATTGGCCACATTACATGTACACTATACTTAGTTATATTCTTGCATACTTTGATTTGTAAGGTTTGCTGAGAAAATAAAAAGGGTAGATGTTGAAATATACAAGTATAAAGTAGCATATTCTACCTGGATTCAAAGGAGAGGTAAATAGATATTTATAGGATGGCAAAAGGAAGACAAGCAATTAACAATGACCTTTTTATGGTAAAGTGTGTAAAAGATTAAACCAAATGATTCTGGTCCAAAATGCAAACGTCAAGGAAAATTTCTAGGAAAAAACCAGCTAAAGAGCAGATGGGAAATCGATTAAGATTGACCCCCACAAGCTACATGTGAAATTGCATTCTGCATGCTTGTATGTTGTGTGCTATAAAGAGTTGACTCTACAGAATGAGCAACAATATAGAACACCATCTAAGGACTGCCAGGTTATAACTTATTAATCTACTGCATCCACTCTTTGTAACCTAATCTAAATACTATTGAGGTCTCACCTTTTGCAAATCCTCTGATTTGAATGTGTGTTTTGCTGCTAAGATCTCTGTGCTCTTCTAAAATATTGAAAAGTGCTTGTTCTTAAATATCTCCAAAACGGTGCCTTAATAACTCTGATGACCTTTTTAGTCAGAAGGAAAAATTGGATCCTAAAGTTTCCAAGCTAAACAAATTTTTTTTTATACTGTAGCAAGCCTGAGTAAGAAAGTGATCGGGTTCCCAAGAATTGATTCTACTTAGGAACTTTTAGCCTTTTCGATTTCCTGCTATGTTTTTCCATTGCATAAACAAGCTAGTATGCTAAAATTGGATCACCTTGCTTAATCCTGTTTTTGCACAAAAGTTCTTTAGAAGTTCACTTGATGAAAGTTTGAAATGGAAAATTGGTTAAACATTCCTTAATAAAATTTTCAAAAGTAGGAGAACTCAACTCACATAGTACCTGCTGCAAAAGTTATCATTTAATTGAATTGAAGATCAATTTTGATCATGAGTCTAGGGGACATGTGTTACTCCCTAGTCCCTATCGTCCTTTACCAATTCAAGGCACCATAAAATAATGGTATCTTTATGCCATTTGGGTACTTGGGAAATAAAAGGAACAAGTATAGACAAGTACATATCTTTCCTAGTCTGTGAGCAGCTTAAGTTGCCTTTTAATCTTTCAAATATTCATTTAAGGATTCGGGGAGGTAGATGATGATAAAAATTGAGGGCTCTGTTTTTTACTCATATTTTTGACCCACTCTGTCATGCTTGAGGTCAGAACTGTGCAGTTATGGATTTTATTTATGTCATTGTGTCATTGTATCCTATTCACACTCTTTAGTTCTCTGTTATTACTTTCATCTGCTGAGATTGCTCTGCAACTAGTGCGCAAGAGTGATCAATTATGCAATGTTGAGATTAATTGGGAATAGTGGTATCATATGTGCAACTTTATATGTTCAGACCTTTTCAATAAAACGCAGCGCTGTTATCCCTGATTTTAGGCTAGCACTTGTCAGCTTTAAGAAATAATCTTGCTAGTGTATACTTATTTTTGTTTTTTTTTACTATGCTTAATTTAACCAGCAATATTTAACAGTGGTTTAAGGATGACACTTTCTTTCTATAATTAACAGTGTTTTAACTTTTAAGGATGGCACTTTCTTTCTAACGTATGAATTCGTTCTCTCCAGATGAGGATATAAGCAGGCAGTCACCCAATAAGAAGATGGAGTTTCATCCAATCAAGCAGCACAGGCACTTTTGCCCTTGGGTTGCATCCACAGGGACTGTTTCCCCAGGATGGCAACAAACTTTGTCAGCTCTGCAGAAAGAAAAAGTGTTTACAGTTCCAGAATTGGAGAGTTCTCCTTCTTCTCCATCTCCATCTCTTATCATGGTAATACAGAACTTTCTTTTTCAAGATTGCTGTTTTAATAGCCAAGTGACATTTGACGTGGTGATGCAAATATTTTTTGTCCATTTTCTCTATTCCAGTTCTCTACAAATACTATCATATTGAGCAAAAACTACTGAAACTGTCTTTATATTTAAAGTATGAATCAGCCCTTTGCATGACCAGTGCAGCTATGAATTGGTTTTGGATGATTCCATATTCTCATTTCTCTAATCATACTTCATTTTCTGCTCGCCTCAATTATTTCCTGTTGCCCCAGAGGGGTTGGGGTGCGAGGAGGGGAGGGGAGGAGGATTATGCATCTCTGTTAGTCTGTGGCAGACTTTGAGAATAGCTATTTGGTTCAAGATGACAACCATTCTGCATGTATTTTTGTAGGTTGATGATCCAATTACGTCTATTAGAAAGCTCTTTGAGTCTCCACCAGCTAAAAGACCGAAACATGCTTCAAAATAATATTTACAGTTTGACCAAGATAGCTGATGATGCTGGATAATCTCCAAGACATACATCTATTTCTGACCTTTACTATGATGTAGTAGGTAAATGCATCTTCCTGCATCAATTTTAGGTTGGTATATGGTCTCTGGTTTTCTGTCATTTATGGGACCATGTCAGTGGTCAGTTACATAAAATTGCAATGGAACTTTTGAAACAAAATTGTATTATGTTCCATTTACTCTGACAAAAATGATGAACAAGAATGAGATCTGAGTGAATTCCTGATGTCATTCTAGCAGGCCACAATTCATGATTATCACTTTTGAGTAAGGGCGGTTGAAACCCCTTTCAGCCACTACAGCTCTCTTGTCACCAATCAACTTCGCCACCCTGAAATTTGTAGAACCAGGCAAGTTTTGTTAGTACTAATTGATATGATGTAAGACTAACAGTTTTGGAAAACTAATTGCTGAAATTTATGGTGAAACCACCCCCCCCCCCTGCGGGTACCTTTAGTTATTATAATTATTACAAGCTTTAGGATCTCTTCTCTTTCCTAATTACTGTTTCATTTTATAATCCTTCAAATGATTAATTGGGCTGTTAAAAGGTTTACTCTGAATAAATTATTTCCACAGACATAACCTTCGAATGTAAAAGGAAAATGTGGAAAAACTCCAATGCAACGTTCTGACAATTTGAAGTTGGAAAATTTTCTTGTAAAACTGAAAAAAATTGAAGCTAAAAACAGGACTTTTCTGTGTTATTATGTATGGAGTAATTAGTATTAGCTTCACTCTTTTGGCAAAAAAAGAAATACCTATAGAAATTGCAGTATAGTATAGTTCAGTGTGTAATTGTGTATGGAGTAGTTAGTATTTTCCCTTACCTAAAATATGGAGAACTAGTGTTTTCTTGCACTGTCTTGACCTGACCAATCTTCTCCACAATATCCATTCCTTCAATCACTTTGCCAATTACCAATGCTGATGAATCGAGCTCTGGGGAGTCCTTTGTTGCTATGGTGAACTCTGTGCCGTTTGGCTCCACCCCTACCTCCTCCTGATCAATCTTAAGCTTCCCTTCTCTGGCAACCAACTTTACTTTAGGCGGCGGTTTTAAAGGATCCCTCACTATGATGCTCACGGTTCCAGCCAAGTTCTTAGTACCAGGACGTTCTTCATTCTCTCTCTCCAATTCTTCAACCAACTTATCGTTCTTGAAGCTCCTTCCTGTTCTGCTTGCAAGCTCAGCATCCACGCCATATGATCTAATTCCTCCATGTTGAACATAGTTTGGCATGATCTTTACAAACTCTTTCCTTCTATAACTTATGCCCGCTTTTCCACTAACAATGTCACGAAATGTAGCAGCTCCAACAGGCGCATTTTGCTCATATAATTTTATAATGATCCTTCCTGTCGGCTTCCCATCAATCGACACATCAAGAAACACCTGTTTAGTTGGATTTACTTTGGTGCTTTGAGAAGTCTTATTCGGAGTTGACTCAGCTTCTTGTTGCTCAGCCTCACCTTTGTTCTGTTGTGGGATTTCCTCTGCCGTGGGAGTTGCCTCGGGTTCTTGTTGTTCAACCTCACCTTTGTTCTGTTGTGGGATTTCCTCTGTTGTGGGAGTTGCCTCTGGTTCTTGTTGCTCAACTTCACCTTTGTTCTGTTGTGGGACTTCCTCTGCTGTGGGAGTTGCTTCAGGTTCTTGTTGCTCAACCTCAGCTTTCAGCTGTTGTGGGATTTCCTCTGCTCGCGCATCCAAAAAAGGATGTGAATGCAGAGTCTGAGAGGTCAAGAGGAGCAGAGAAGAATTTGTAAAGATTGTGAGCTCTCGGCGTGAAAACTTGTTGCATTGTTTAGAAATCAGAGGAGAAAGGCTAGCATTTACACTCTGGTTTTCGGGAATATATGGTGATTTTCGGGTATGTAGGATCTGCGCAGGCGATTGTCCGAGTTTTAGATGTTGCAGCATCCTTGTAGCTCTAATGGAGGAAAGTCTCTGTATCTGTTTTCCTCTCTCCTAATGGCTTCAGTAGTGAGTAGTATACTTTGTCAAAGAAAACGTGAGATGATATTGTGGATAAGATAGAAGCTCAAGAATGCTGAGCATCTGCACTTGAGATTCATCTGAGACCACAATCACAAGTGTTGGTAGGCCATCCTCTGATCAACACCCCCCCCCCCCTCTTTTTTTTTTCCTCTCCCGAATGGCTGATTTTTTTATCATCATGCATAGGTGATTAGACAATTTGTTTGTCAATACCTGATACTAAATTATCAAGAGAGAGGTTTAACTAGTCAAAACCGCATGAGAGAGTTTGGTTGAGAGGGGATTGAAAGAGAGGTTTGAGTCCAAAAATACCATGAGTAATTTTAAAATAAAACGTTGGTTGAACTTATTAGAAGAGGTTATAATTATAAATGTAGTAGTAAAATGACTATTCTATCATAAAGCTTTTTTTTTTTTTTTGGACAGGACCATAAAGTTCTTCAAAGTTACTATATTTACACAAAAATCAGTTAACAAAAATTTATTTTTTGTGCTTATTAGTCATTTTTATAAAATACTTTTGTATAAATTAGCTTTTACTTTTACAATTAAATAAACAGATGCAAAATTGTTGCATACCAATACTTTTACAATTGAATAAAATGATGCAAAATTGTTATAAATTAGCTCTTACAATCCACAATTAAAACTAGCTAATAGCTACTCCCTTGTCACTTTTTAAATTTAAACTTTAACCATTCAAATGTACAGATTAAAAAGTGACGAAGGGAGTAATATGGAGTATAAATGTATAATCACCAAACCACTAGTAGTCAAAAGGGCCTAAACCACTAAACCCATTTAAGAAACCTATTTTGAAGAATTGATTTGTTCTTTTTTTGTTCTTATGTTAGTTTAATACGAAATATGAATATGCAACATTATGATGATTAACCTTTTTTTGAGGAAAATGATGATTAACCTTTTCGTTTCAAAAGATAAATTAATGAGACAAAGAAACAATTTCTTTTAATGTTTTGTAAAACAAAATTCTCAATTTAATCAAATATAAATTTCCTCCTCTTTACCTTTCCTATTAGAACTTATTAGTTATTACTAAATCTGCCCTTAGCCTAATCTACCCTTTCTCCTCTATGTCTACTTCCTTCACCCTTGCTCTAGTCTTTCTTCTCACACTACCGCGACACTCACTGCAGCCCCAACCTTTGTTAATGAACCGCAAACTATTGACGACCAACAGCAAACAGAGCATATAAACAAGCCAACGAGAACAACATGACATAATTCGATGTATTTGAGCCAAGCTGCTCTAGAACAGAGTGAAATAATACTAGTAGAATTGTTGATCCAAAGGCAAACTAGGCAATTATGCAGCAACGGAAACACAGTTGCTCCCTACTCCTCAAATGTTTAGGCATGTAAAACAATACTTCGTAATGATTGGTTTCCCTCTCTTTCGTTCTGAGACTGCCAGTAGAGTTTGCATCATTTTTAACACTAATCTCTAGTTCTCAACAGTCTGTTCATGTTTCATGCGATATATCCAAGAATGAAAAATAGAGGGAGTATAATCGATAACTTGCCATCAATTTCAAACGCTAGTTGCCAAAATGTGTTAACAGGCTATACATAATCTGCAACTGCTAGATTAGTAAACTCCTAATATCAACCTTCCAAGTAAACACATGAAATGATTGCAGATTGAAGCAATGGTCCTTGCTATAACCACTTAAATATATATAAGGCATAACTCAGATTGAAGCAATGGCAGTGATGTCGAGCATAATAGATCTTGAAGATATGAGCACTGGTCCTTCCAACTCCACTTGGAAACAATCCAATAATGTGCCCGAGAGACCTGGACAATGAAGTCCTCGGAACTCAGAAATACCCAACGCCTCTTAGCTCTTGTACAGATGGCTGACGGAAATCACTGCCAAATCCCAAAAATATAATACGGCCTGCAACAATGAAAGAATAGAATACATAAGATGCCTCCCCCTAAAAAAAGATCCCTGTTTTGTAGGAATACATTCAGGGTTGCCATCTTTGTAGGGTGAATCTCTGATCACCATTCACCACCAATCCAACAACCCCATTCCAAAAACACTAAGGAAAAAACAAGCTACAGTATCAACAACAAAGTGCAAGGACAAGGGGTTCAATATGTTTAGAACAATAGTTTTTGTGATAAACTAATAGGAAGCAAAAAATCATGGGACACAAATTTTGGATAAATGTCAGAATAACAATGTAAAACATACCATTTCGTCGAACCGCAATTTCCCTTACACGTTTAACAATACCGGAAACTTGATCAGTATAGATTTTGGTCTCCAGATTTCCCTCTAGATAAAGTAGTGAACTGCAACATGAATGAAGCTTCAGATACCAGTTGGATGAAACAAGCATGAGAAATGATTTCCAACAGGTCAAAGCAACAAGTGCTGTTTTCCCCCAAAAAATCAGTACAAAGATACATATTAATGTTTGTCATTGCTATAACCACTTAAATATATATACTTATTTTTTTTATTGGGTTGGTAAGAACTGCCCTACTGAGTTCGGAACCTCTCACGGATCAACAAGGCCTGGTTAGTAGGCTAGCCTATTTGAGAGTGGTGGGGTGTGAGGTAAGGCAATCCCAACCCTCAAGGCGCCCTTAGTGGGGATTGAACCCCCAACTTCAAGTTTGGAAGGTCCCTCCTTACTACTTACCCAATACTTGGTTGGTACTTGAAATGTAAATTGGCAACATAAATATCACTGTTCATACAGAGTCACAAAGTGTTGTGCCAAGAGAGAGTCCTTAGTGGGGATTGAACCCCAACCTCAAGTTTGGAAGGTCTCTCCTTACTACTAACCTTATACTTAGTTGGTACTTAATATTGTAAATTGGCAACATAAAAATCACTGTTCATACAAAGATTACAAACATATAGGTATACAACACTAGCAAAAGTATTCTGAAGAGAACTCCAAAGGCCATCGTAATTATATAAAAAAAAATAAAAAAATAAAAAAAAATCAGGGAAGTGTCAAATTGACCACTCTACTTCTATCATACGTGCAATTTTGATTGAAGCAAATAGGGCTCCCAAGCTTTGTTTTGTGTAATCGATGCCAATTTCAGTTTTTTTAAACTTCAAAAGTTTTTCTTTATTATAAGTAATTTAAAATGTTTTTAAGTTATATACATACATACACATATATACAATTAGACTAGTATTGTACACTGTATAATTAATACAACATTTTTTCCTCATTTCATTCTCTATCTTCAGTTATAGTGGAGCTTTGGTGACTCTGTTCGAAGTAGGGGTGTAAATGAGCCGATACGTTCATGAAGTACTCGCGAACAAACTCGGTCAAAACTCGTTTATCAAGTAACAAACAAGCTTGAACAAAAATCTTAAGCTCGTCAAATAAATGAACAAAGCTCAAACAACATCATGTTCGACTCGATAATGCTCGTGAACAACTCGTGTATGCACATTCATGAGTTTGTTCACGCTCGATTATAACTTAGTTAGAGCTTGCTCACGCTTGATTTAAACTTAGTTAGTATATTTATATATCTTTTACTCATATTTATTTGTAAAATTACAAATTATTACGTCTTATAAAGGCATGAAAATTTTGGGATTACCTTTTTACTATAGAAAGAACGGAAACTTCACATATAAAATAAAGTAGATGCATTAAAATTAAAAGTGTAACGATATATTGGGGCTCATTCATTTAATAAAGCTCATTGAAACCTGACCTTAAACTTGAAATACAAACGAGCACGTTCGTAAACAAAGCTCAAACATGTCAAATTCTAAACGAGCCAAGCTCGAACGAGCTTTTTAAAAGCTCGTTCAAGCTTGAAATAGCTCGAACACAAAATTTTCTTATCAAGCTGTTCGAACAGACTCAAACTCGGCTCGACTCGGATCGTTTGTAGCCCTAGTTCGAAGCTAAGGCATGATTATGATGACATGTGTGTGCGTGCATGTGTGTGTGTGTGTGTGAGGTGGGTGTGTGGAGAGAGAAAGCCTCTCTCTCTCTCTCTCTCTCCCTCCCCTCCTCCCAACCCCCGTTAAAAGGTTGCTAATAGATGTAGGTGGAAACTCAAAGCTCTCAAGTCCATGAAAGCACTCAAAACCAACACATTCTTAATTGGTTATCTTCTTAGATGTAATATTGGATATCATAATGAAGGATTGAAGGCACTATTAAGCTTGATAGTGCCACAACAATTATGTACCATCATAATCAAAATTTGTATTCTCTATTGCAGATTGGAGGAAAACTAAGAACACTCTCATTAACGCACACAAACAAACAAACAAACCGTTACGAGTACATTACAATATTTTAACTTCTGTAATTTCCAATTCTTCTGTCTTTCCTCACAAAATGCCAGCCAATTAAAATCAATGTTCATCATGTTGAAAACTTATCACACATTACACAGCTAAGAAGTAAAAAGTTTCTTCATTCAATACCAAACAAAGAACAATGCAGACAAAACTGCCTAGTGAAACCAACACATGGTATAGAGATCAAGAAAAGAAATTTACCCAGGTTGAGCATTCTTCAGTACAACTTCACCCAACCTTTCCGGATAGATAGCAACTCGATGCCATTGAACATTACAACGATCAGCATACTCCCTTGGTTCTTCATTTGGGAATGGAATCCGCTCATTTCTAATCCCACCGGTTCCTAAAGTAGTAAGTGTCACCAACTTCCCATTCTTTAGCCTCTTCTGTAATGGACTCTGCCCAACTTGTCCCACCAGTATAGCCTAATTTATCATAAAACGCAAACTGAGATCACTCAATTATCATCCAATTAAATCAGTATGCCTTCAATACTACATTTTCATATGGTTTCCCAATTTTCAACGAAACCAAACAATTACAAAAATGCATAGATCAACAAATCATTCCCATTAAACTACTACATTCATCTAGCATATATCCTAGGAGGCTAATCTCAAGACCCTTACTTGTACTCTACCACAAAATTAAAGAATTTCCTCAAAATTGATACAATGCAGGAAGATAAACTTTTTCTAAGGCTCGGTTAAACATTAGTACACCGATCAAACACATGAGTTTGTCGAATAGTCTATGTTACTCAGACTCTTCATTTCACTCTAAGTACCCATAGACAATTTTTTTATAGACGAGTCAGACACTTGGACACAGCAATGAGGACATGGGTACCCGAGTCCGAGCAACATAAGGTATAGTTAGCAGAAATCATAACCAAAAAGAATGCAAAAATGAATAAAAATTAAACCTTGTAAATGCCGATGTCTAAGCCACCCTCAAGGACTGTCTGAATGAACGGGCGCTGCCCAGCTGAGTCGGGGGAAGCAGAAGCGAACTCAGAGGAAGAAGGGGCCGAGTTATCAGGGCTAAACTCGGTTGATTCAGAGTCCGAGTTAAGAGTTGGTAACTCACTATCATCTGGGGTTGAATCAGAGTTGAACTCTGGAGTTGAAGGTCCATTGGAGAAGAGGGAAGTGGTAGTGTAGTAAAAGGGTTTTTGATTTGAGAAGAGATTTCGACATACTTGTCTTGAAATTGATGTCAATGAGTTTGAGGTCACCATTGATGGATGATAGTGAGGTTTGATCAGAAAGAGGGAATTGAATTTGTAAAGTTTGGGGGGTTTAAAACTGGGTAAAACCCTAGGGAATGAAAGAAATGTTGAGGTGGAACAAAAATGAAAGAAGTGTAAGTTAATCACTTATACGTTTATTATCACTAGTGGGCATTATTGGAGCAAGTATAAGAGCCGGCCCAGGTTCATCTCCATGATGTACGTTTATCTAGGGTTTAAATCATCGTTTTGCGTCATAAGCCAGGGGTGCCAAGGTAAATAGCTGGTAACATGGAATTTTGAATGTTGACCCAATGTCAAATGTTGTTTAGGGCTGGCAAAAGTTGACCCGATCCGAAAACACGACCCGAACCTGACTTGAAAATATCGGGTTAGGATTGAGATTTTCAACCCGAAAACTTAAATGGGTCAACACGAACTCGACCTAAAATTAAATGGGTTAGGTTAAGGTTGAAAATTCCAACCCGAAAATGGCCCATCTAACCCAAAAAAATTAAAAATAAATAAATAAATAAAAAAGCAAAAAAAAAAGAGGAAACTTACTAAAACCAGCCCAAGCCCATATTTAGGACCTTATAAAGCTAAAACCCTAAAATCCTCTCACACTCTCACTCCTCTCAACCTCACTTCTCTCAGCCTTAAGAAGCTCTTTCTCTCTCATATTTCATTTTTCCTCTCAATTTTTTATATCTTCAACTCTTAAGGATTCAAACCCTAATAATCTAAAATCCTTTAATTTGCCTGTCCACGCCTCTCTCTCCTTCACGGACATCACGGCTCAAGTCGCTCAACAACTTGCAAGAGTTCAAACTTCATCAATCTTTAATGTACATCTCCCGTCGCAGTTGAATTATGGTAGAATGAACTCGATGATAGCAAGGGTTGGCCATTTACACACCTAGCAATAATGTCTATGGCACTACCTTGTTCTTTACAAGAACCCATTGGTTATATAAGTCAATAAAGTTAGCTAGACTAAGTTTGTAGTTTTGTACCCATCTATTACAGGCTAGTAAGTGTGATGAATCTGATGATGTTTGCTTTTTTCATGTTTTTGTTATATACCTTGTAATGTATTTTTTTTATTTTTATTACTCGCTCAATAAGCACAAACACACTTCTTTTGGTTAATTTTGGTTTCAATAGACTATGTTGTTTATTTTGGTTTCAACTGAAGCACTAAGCCTATGAACTTGAGTGTTCGAAAATATCAAAGGGTCTGATAATATCAAGTTATTTTGAAAAAAAAAAAAAAAAAGGTTAGTTTCAGGTCAATTTCAGGTTAAATAACCTGATTTAAACCTAAACAAAAAAAAGCAGGTCAAATAAGGTCAATTTCGGGTTAACTCGAACCCGAAGATATCAGGTTCAGGTTGGGGTTTTCAACCCGAAAAGTTAAATGGATCAGGTTCAGGTTGGGGGGAGCTGACCGAACACCAACCCGACCCGACCTGATCCGTTTGCCAGCCCTAACGTCGTTATGTCTCTAAAGTCAACCATAGTTAACTTATGTCAGTTTTTCCAGGTAATATCCGTGAATTCAGGAAACTCTCTTCAATGCTCGCTTTGCTCTGTTTTTTGAACTGTTTTTCCACGAATTTAATTAATTGACTTGCCGAATTGGGAATCTCCTTGGTCTAGGTTTGTCATCGATTTGTGTAGTGTGATTGGGGATGGTTGATTTTCGTTGCGGTGGTTGTTTTGCTTTTTCGCTTCGGCGATCTTGAAAAGGTACACGAATCAATTTGTTGAGAGTTGCACTTCTTGTTGTTGTTTGATTGGGAATAATTTACATTGATTGTGACTGGTAATTGCGTAGTGTATGGATGGTAAAATTTGTTACTAATTGGAGTGTTGTGTTGAAATTTTAATGCAACTGGGGAAAAACAAAGAGTGTTTTCACATTTAATTGTAATTGAAAATAGGATGTCAATTTTAGTATTGTTTCCGTAAAATTTAGTAGTACTTGGATTGTTACTTTGATATTTTAATGCAAAATTGGGGAAAAAGACGTACATTTAGTTCATTAATTAATTTACAATGGGTCAATTTGAGTAATTTTCCCTAAAATTAGAATTGAAAACATCTGTTTACGGTTTGAGTAATTGTGTTTTTCTGGGTGTGTTCATTGTTATAGTATATAGTATATGTTGTTGGTAATTGTATTAATTGTTTTTAATGGTGATGATAGGGAGCGTGTTGGTGGGAAACTTGTGCAGGATAATGGAGGTGGTGGTATGATTGCACTAGTAGAAAAAATAAAATAGGCACCGCACTTTTCGCACCGGTTCTTGAAAACCAGTGGTAAAAGAAATGGGTGGGATTGGGAAAAAAGACTTTTCGCACCGGTTCCTATTAAACCGGTGCGAATTATAAAAGAGGAAAAAAAAAGGGAGAAAGGGATTTCGCACTGGTTCAAACCAAACCGGTGCGAAAATAGTGTTTTAGCACCAGTTCAAACCGGTGCGAAATTAAAAAAAAAAATCGGGGTATACCCCTGCATCTTCTTCTTTCTTTCTTTCCCCCTGCTTTTCATTTTCAATTTTCCCTCGCTCTCGTTTTCGCCCTTCTCTTAGCTTCGACCACCTCTGAAGTTTCATCTTTCTCCATATCTCTCCTCCATTACGCGTGCTCGTAGTTATCCATTGAAGCGCATTCTAAGCTTTGTCTATATCACTCCTCCATTACGCGTACTCTTAATTCTCCATTGAAGCGGATTCGAGCTTTCTCACCTCCATTGAAGCAGCTTCAAGGTAAGAATTTGTTTTTGTCCTTTTTAGATTAATGATTTCAGTTTTCGCAGTCTAGGGTTAGTCGTTGATTTGATTTTCAAATTCAGTATATAGTTCTTGTAATCTAGGGTTAGTTTACTACCGCATAAACTTGTTGTGCATTGAGTTATTGCCTTGTTGTGAGCTTGCAAATTTTTTATGGGTATTGTTTTAGTGGTTGGGCTGCGGTGGTATTTGGTGGATAAATTGCGGGTTGTGAGGGAGCAGGGGAGTTTGGTGAGGTGTGGCAGGTGTGGACGTGTGGTGTGGATTGGATTGGTTGATTGGTGAATGGTGAAGCAGGTGCTGTTGGTTTTGTTCGGTGAGTGTGGCTACAACAGCTCCCCACCACTGCGCACCAGACACCACCTCACCACCCTTTCCCCTTTCCCCACTTGCCTTTCCCAGTTTCCCAACCCACCTCCCCTTCCCATCCGTCGCCCCCTCGAACTAAAAGCCCACCCCTCGTCTAAACCTGCAACCTCAGTTCGGCCAGCCTCCTTACCCACCGCAACCCTCTTAATTTTGATTTGGGTTTTCTGGGCTTGGGTTTCACTTTGGGGTTTTCTGGGTTTGAATTTCTTTTAGGTAGTCAATGGGGAGGCAGTTTCGTGGGGGGGATTTAGGGGTTTCGTGGGTGGTCAGGGTGGCTGCGGTGGGTGATTTTTGGGTAACGGGTGGTGACACAAAACCCTAGTAGTCATATAGGCCTTATTTGGGCCATTTTGGATCAAAATGCGTCCTAAAATACTTGAATTGCTCTTTTCATGTGATTTCAAGCCTTAGCCGCCTATAACTAAGTAATAATGACTTGTTATGAGAAAGAATAAGTTGATTTGACAAGAAATATAGGAAATAGGCATCCTATTAGTCATATAGGCCTTATTTGGGTCATTTTAGATCAAAATGCTCCTAAAACACTTGAATTGTTCTTTTCATGTGATTTCAAGCCTTATCCACCTATATCTAAGTAGTAATGACATGTTATGAGAAAGAATGAGTTAATTTGACAAGAAATGTAGGAAATAAGTATCCTAGTAGTCATATAGGCCTTATTTGGGCCATTTTGGATCAAAATGCGTCCTAAAACACTTGAATTGCTCTTTTCATGTGATTTCAAGCCTTAGCCACGTATAACTAAGTAATATTGACATGTTATGAGAAAGAATGAGTTGATTTGATAAGAAATGTAGAAAATAGGTGAAGTAGTAGTCATATAGGCCTAAGTAATAAATTTTTGTCTAACTGAACATGTAAATGTATTTTTACATGCATAACCTAAGTAATTAATTCTAACATACTTTTTGTTTATTCCAAGTTTTGCAAGGTACAAAAGGGAGGTCCGTTGACGAGCAAGGAACTTAATGAAGTCTGAGACATGTTGGCGTCTTTCATCACATTTAATTTGTAAATGTCATTTCTATTTGAACTTGTTAACTACATTATTGATTAGTATTGTTTGTAAATATGACACTTTTTTTTTTTTGAGGAATTGTAAATATGACACTTCATTGTATTGAATTTGGGAGTATTAATTAATATCTATGTATTGTTGTTATTATTTCAATTTAAAAATTATTATTATTTTTATTATTTATAATATTATAATAATAATATTATTGTTATTATAATATATAATAATGGTAGAATTAATGCAGGATGTACAGGTTTTTTTTATTATTATTAGTATTAATATTATTATTATTTATTGCCAAAAAACAAAAAAAAACAGTTATTGGCACCGGTTCACAGCAAGAACCGGTACGAAAAGTAAATAAATAAAAAAAAGGCGCGCTAGGACTTTTGGCACCGGTTTACAGCAAGAACCGGTGCGAAAAGTTTTTTTTTTAATTTTTTGGGGACTTTTTCGCACTGGTTCACAGCAAGAACCGGTGCGAAAAGTCTTGGATTTTGGCATCCGTCAAATCAGAACCAGTTCAAAACCGGTGTGAAATGGGGGTTTTGAACCGGTGTTGATTACCAATTTTCGCCTAGTGAAAGCTCGAAGATGCAATCTCAAGAAGTTGTCAACAATTCAAGATTTAGCATCTTAGGTCTTTGTTTTGTTTCTTTCCTTTTTGTTTTCTCTATGATAGACTAAGAGATTCATGATGTCGAATCTACTTATTATGTATTCTCATTAATTAATGAATAAAAATTCTATTTTCAAGTACTGCTATCTTGTTCTTTTTTCAATCACTTTGTTTTTATTAGCTCGAATTAAATGAAATACACATACAAATAGGCAATGTCAAAACAGGCATACATGCTCAACACTTTAAGTATCTTGATGAGCTTTGGCTTACAAGATTTATCGAATGAAAAGAGGCCCATCTTTGGCCCACAAATAAAGGATATGATGATTACACCAACACAAGAGACAACTTGATACTCCACGAAGATGATCCTATGTTTTTTAACCTTAGAACGAACCCGTCTTTTTTGCAGCTCTTTTGAGCCTAGTCAATTGAGTCTTACTTATTCAACCTACATTATTCCAAACCTTGGGATGGGGATGGTGCAAAGAGATACAAATGAAAAATTGGGAAAACGAAACATAAGAGGGCACAAAAAGTTAGTCTAAACCCAAAAAGAAATAAATGCAATGCGAAAAACTAAAAATCATTCTAAACCCGAAACCAAACTTGCCAAAAAAAAGAGAGAAAGGAAAAAAAAAAAAAAAGGCAAGAGAAAGGCACCTAATGTAGGAGTTGTTAAATGAACTAGAATGGTTTTAATTTGAGAAGCACCAAAAGTAAGGGGTTAAGAGAGTATACTTGAGTCTATCCATTTTTTTCAAACCTCGAGCCTAGCCGCGTTACAATCT